TAAGTACTGGTCCTTTGTCTAATGGCAGTTCAGGAACTTGAAAAACCCATTCTCCTTGGGAAAGATGATACACGATGGGACAGCTTTTACAAAGAGGATGTAGTCTTGCATGATACACAGCTGATAGGGAGAACTGGGTGTACAAAATGAGGGCTGAATTCAATGTAGCACAGCAGCAATAACTCCAGACTGAAATAGTTCAGGGATTGAGCAAAATAAAAATTGGTTTTCAGGTCTTTAGCACTTCAGAAAGTATACTATATGATTTAATATTAAAATCATTTACACTATTAATTTATTTAAATATTCTCATTAAAATTTGGGTTCTAAACTAAATACAGTGTAGGCTTAAGTTATTCATTGACACTAGTCATTTACTATTTAAGTGAAAGGCTAGTATGGATACCTTTTATTCAGCATTATTTTATGCATTTCTCATTTTTGTATTGAAAAGGCCATAGGATCAAAATCAATAAAACATAAAACTTCTTAAATAAGACCCCTTACATCCCAAACCAAAAAACCTGCTAAGTATTTTACTGCCACAGCAACTCTGATGTAACAGGTTCTAAATAGCACTCTTTGAACATGACATTCTTTGTCAAGGTATGAAATTATTTCATATTTTTTATAATACTGAAGAAATTATTCTTGGGTTCCTCCATACAACTGATACATGATGATTAGTGAAATCAATGACATAGACATCAGTGACAACTAACTTTTGCAAGATAATTTGATTCCATGTGAAATAATGATAATTTGATTTTTTAAAAATTCAAATTAATTTGTATTGATAACATCATTATAAGGATATATTTAGTAACATTAATTTTTATTAAATTCCATTTAGTAGTAGTTTAATTTCATTAGATCATTTGTGTTCCTATGATGCACAATCATAGACTTAGATACTCAGGTACTTGCTTATCTACCTTTAAATACAGATATGTTTTGTTTCCATGACTCTAGTGTGCTAATACTTACTTGTCATTTAATTATAATCCTGTGTGCTTCTGAAAAGATTTAAAAGTGAAACAGCTCAGCCATGAAACTGCTGTGACCCCACAGCAATGGTTGTTGCATGATCATTTTGAGAAAGTGGAAGGGCAATCAAGTGAGCCATAACTTTCTCTAAGGGGGTTCAGAGACTTTCATACTTTCTACTGTAAGTTACCTTTTCTAATTTAAAAGCAAAAATCCACCACTCTACTTAATTAAAACATTAGAGTTCTTGCTGATGGGAAAGACTAAGTGAATGACCCATGCAGGAGAGGCATTAGTCACAGCCCATCTGATCTTATAAGACTTATGAGACAGTGAAGACCAGACCTACAAAGCTTTTTAAATATCAGTCAGAAGTTACAGGTCCTTAAAACTTGTACACCTCTGTCACATAACCCTGGGCATGCTTAAATGCTGAGTACCCTTATTCTCAAAATCAAGGTTTCTCAGCCCATGAGGACCTAAGCATTTTTGAAAACATTTCACTAGAGCAGGAATGAGTAGCTCAATTCCTATCTTGCACCTTAATTTCAGGAGAATTTTAAATTTATAACATTTATCTAGTGTCCTGGTTCAGGCTGGAATAGAGTTCATGTTCTTTTTTGGTAGCTAGAATAAATCTGTGTTTTGGATACAGTATGGGGTTTTGGCATGAGAAGAATGCTGGTAGCACACTGAGATTTCAAGGACTCTCCAACTCCCCTTGTCCTGCCTGTGTGCAGGCACACAAGAAGCAGGGAGGGAACACAGATGGAGCAAGGGGCCCAGAGTGGCCAATATTTCATGTCCTGTGACATTATGCTCACTATATAAAAGAGAGGTGGGTAGGAAGGGGTGCTCTCACTTCCAGAATTGCAATTGTGGCGTCTTTATATTTTGGAATCGCTAGCCGGGAACGGGCTGGGTATCGGTCGGCAGGTGTTGAGCAATTGCATTGTACAGTACCCATTTATACTTTCTATTACTGTCACCATTTTATTACCATTATTAAACTGTTTCTATCTCAACCTGTGAGTCTCCCTTTGCCCCTCTGATTCCCTCCCCGTTCCCAGGTGAGGGAGGGTGGGCCAGCTGCTGTGTGGCGTTTGGCTGCTGACCAGGCTCAAACCATGACATCCTGAAACTTTTAGCAAGTGGATCACAGACATCTTTTGTATCCTGCTCCCTAAAGTGCAAAAAATAAGACCATTTATATTTTAAAACAAAAGTAGGTATTTTTCCACAATAAGCATATAATAAATTATTTCTGTTACCAAAAAAAAAAACAGCAAGTCATTGAATTATGCTTTGTTCCTCCAAATTAAATGAATCTCAAGAAATTAAAATGAGATTTAGGACATTCTAAACATTCAATAGTCAGTTTAGGAAATGCTAAATACTTGAAGGAGAGAGATTTTAGCTCTGAAGATCAAGAACCTGGATTTTATTACTGTTTTATATATAAAAATTTATATATAAATACACCATATAAATGTATATATACACTGAAGGTACAGTTATTTAAAGAATTTTTATTAAATATAATTTTCTACAATACTTGGCCCTGAGTAACATCAAACTAGTGTAAGTACAGATGTTTAGAAGACCAGATCTGAGCTCATATATTTTGTCTGAAATCTTTGTTAGAATCTACTTTCAGTCAATGGTAAATCAGGACAGAGGCTGGAATAAGTTCTCCTTAAGCATATATCCAAATGAAAAGACAATTAAAAATTATTAAAAAATTTAATCAAACCTAAAATTATTATTCTGAATTTAGAGCCCCTGCTTTGACTGTTATTCAAAATTAATTGAGTTCTATGAGTTCATAAAATGTATTCCACCATCACAATGCTTCTCAATAATATTAGGTCTTTGAATTAATATGCTATAGCAAAGTTTGATGTTGGTTCCTATTAAGGAGTTATATTTTTTTCATAATGGGCTTTAATGTCAGTTTAACCAGCTTTAATTAAACTTTGGCTTATAAATCATTTTATTGAGAAGTGCAATGAAATTTTCTGAGTTTTATGGCTTTTTAATTAAAATTAATTAATCCAACTTGTGGTTAAAGTGCCTGCAAAGTAGTTCCCTTGCATTTCCAAGCTACTGTATAAAGTTCTAGTCACACAATTTAAACTTTATCGGGAGTCAACAGACTGAAACCTTAGGCCATAAAAATCTAGTTTTTTAGGTAGCTATTGATATTTAGTAAGGCAATTTAAAAAAACTAAGTGATGTTTTGATCTAATTATCAGTTATGTAAAGATAACTTAACATCACTGTTAATATAGACCATGTCCATATATATACCTTTGATTTTCTGTCGTGTCAATATCCCATTTTTGGTGTATATGTAGAGTTAAAAAGTTACTTATTGAAAGTTATGTTTTACATGTAAAAGAATTCACATTCACAATAATAAGCATCACTTTCAGCTTTAGCTAATTTATGCTACTTGATCATATGTATTTGGTGTGTAATTGCGTTACACATTTCAACGAAGTGTCTGTCATGATTTTTTCATATGTCTGTATTATTCAACTCTGCTATGTTATATAAAATAATGTGCAGTTAATTTTTAATAGAATCTTTTAGGCAGTAACTTTAAAAAATATTATGTTGGAGAATTAAAATAATAATTTCCTTACATTGCATGGGACAAGGGGCAGACAACATGTGACTTACTAGAGCCAGAGCATAATTCTGATGTTTTAAGTCTTGCACCTTTTTTTTTTTTTTTTTTTCTGGATTACTTACATTATCTCAGTAATACTGTGTTACTTCTATTTAAACTCTTGATGACTAGGCAGTCTTTCCCCTGGCCCAGACCCAAACAAGCAACTATAGACAGCATTAATTTGAATTTTGATATTTTAAGAACTGAACTGAGTGGGTATAGCAGTGGAATTATGCATTTCCCTCAATTTTAATGTTCTGACACTTAGGTCCTTGACTGATGTTTTGTCATTCCTTCCCTGCTTCCCATCTTACTCTCATGAAGTCTATCTAACATATCATAATGAAATTCATTATTGTATCTAACAGATAATATAACTTACTTCTCCCTCCAACACTTTTTACATTTTTTATGTCAAAAATTAGATTTCTTTCCAGCAAGAGGGTCTTGTGCCTCCAGTCTATACCTACTTCACTTTCTTCTTCTTACAATTGTTTATGAATCAAGAATATGAGAACACATTTGTAATTTCTCCACAGAGTTCAAGCACCCTAAGAAAAATATTTGGAGAAAGATACACTGCAGAACTCTACTTCTGTTGTGTCCTTGTTAATGTAGGGTAGGTAGTTCAGAGAGCACTTAATTCAGTTCTTAGGATTCAGTCAACTAAGTTAAATGTTTTTGTTTATATAATTTATATCTATATTTTTGTATAGAATTTATACAAATTTTGTTTAGTTTTTTATAGTTATATGTATTATAAATGTTAATACTGTGAGATTTTAATTGTTGTATACATTTTGCATGTTAGCTGGATCTTAACAATCTGTTCTAAACAAGTGTGAGAAATAATGCTAAGTTCATAGTGTTAATCTTCCTTTCAGCCTTGTCGTATGTATGGACAGCTATCATCTGGATATTGATAGTATAACTGTATATGACTGACAAGTTTTTTACCAAATAGGTCAGTGACAAAATACAGGAAAATGTAGTATGTGCATGTAAATATTTACAATATATTGAATGTGCTCACTTACAGCTGAGTTTAGAAAAATTTCAAACAATATGCAGATCTGCTCTAGCCTTTAGTAATTCTGACAATTTTTAATTACAATATTACCATATAATCTTCATATTGTTTTCTGAATATATTCATATATGAATTACAACTATAGCTGTTTAATTCTAATAATCTGTGATTTGTTTTCCTCATGAGCTGTGAGAGGGCTGGGTATGGCAGATATTGACTAATCTTATGGGTTTTAATACACAGCTTTAACAGCTGCTTTTATTTTCTTCCAGTATTACTGAATCTGAAATACTTTCTTCTTCTCAGGAGAATATAATGGAAGTTATAAGAAATCAAGAATTTTTACTTCTACCAGCTGAAGAACTCCATAAACTTCTTGCTAGTGATGATGTGAATGTTCCTGATGAAGAAACCATTTTCCATGCCTTAATGATGTGGGTGAAATACGATATGCAGAGGCGATGCAATGACCTAAGTATGCTACTTGCTTATATCAGATTACCACTGCTTCCACCTCAGGTATTTTTTAACTATTATTTTTGATAATAATACTACTGATACTGATAGTAATACTAATAATAGTTAATATCACCGTTACTGTGATTATAATATGCAACTGCTGAATACTCTGGGTGTTTAAAAGCAAAACTGTTAAAATTTAGAAAAAATTAATGGCAGCCCTTCATCCAGAGTGACCTCAATAAACTTGAGGTTTGGGCCAACAGATACCCGAGAATTTCAGAGTTGTGTAACTGAAGAGGAGTAACCCCGGATATCATAACATGCTAAGAAGGACAGGAAGAATGGTAAATATTCTCAGGAAAAACCCCCTTGGGATTATGACAGATACTGGACTGAGTGTGAGCCAGCAGCATGAACGAGGAAAACTGCATATTGTTCTTCATCAGGAAAAATTCTGTCAGCAGGCCATATAAGGTCGTTATTCCCATAATACCTGGTGCTGCTAAGGCTGCATCTGGAATATTGTTTCCAGTTTTGCACTCTGCAATTCAAAAGACATAGGAAGAAACTGGAGAAGGTCCAGTGATGGACTACCAAGATGGTATGTCAGCTTGGAGAGGAAAGGTTGAGGAAGCTGGCTTGTTTAATCTGGTGAAGAGGAGGCTAAGTGATGACCTAATTGCAATCTAAATCTTCTTGGAGGGAGGATCATGGAACCAAATTCTTCTTAGGAGCACCACAAAATGTCAGAAAGGGAAAGTGCCCTAAGTTGTAGCATGGACAGTTGAGGTTGGACATTGGCTGGAGGGCAAGAAATCACATGGAAAACAGTGAACCACTGCAACAAGTTTTTTTCTGAGGCTAAGAAGTCTTCTTCATTGAAGGTTTTCCTGAATTAGCTAGACCAGGCAATCACCAAATTCAGTGTAGATGCTAACCCTGATTTGATTGAGAGTTGACCACTGAAGGTTCTTTGGAGCTCCCTTTGTATGAATGCTTCTATGATTCTATGACTCAGGCTTCAGTTCCTTTTTTTTTTTTTTTTTTTCCAGAGAAGTAAATAGTAGTTTTCTTCTTTTCTTCTGTCTAGTACCTCCAGATAATCATTCTCCTTTCAGCTAGTGTGCTGGGTCTGGCTGGGGTGGAGTTAACATTCTGTATGGCAGCCTGCATGGTGCTGTGCTTTGCACTTGTGGCTCAAACACTGTTGGTAACACACCAGTGTTTTGGCTATTGCTGAGCATCCAGGCTTTCTCTCTTCCCTACGCCACTACCCCTCCAGAAGCCAGTAGATCTGCAGTAGGAAAGAAGTTGGGAGGAGATATGTCCAAGACACCTGACCCCAAGTGACCAAAGGGATATTCCATACTGTATGACATTGTGCTCATCAATAAAAAGATCAGGGAAAGGAGGAGGAAGGGTGATGACAATTGTTGTAATGGCATTTGTCTTCCCAAGCAACTGTTACACATACTGAGGCCCTGTTTACCAGGATGTGGCTGAACATCTGCCTGCCAATGGGAAGTAGTGAATTAACTCCTCTTGTTTCTCTGCTTGAGTGCACAGGTTTTATTTTCCCTATTAAATTGTCTTTATTGCAATCCATGAGTCTTCTCACCTTCCTTTTATTTTCTCCTTATCCCACAGGAGAAGGCAGTGTGTGAAAGGCAGGGTGAGTGTTTGGCAGCTGGCTGGGGTCAACCCATCACAGCCCTTTTTGGCACCCCACATTGGGCACCAAAAAGGCCTGTTTACGGTGAAGCACTGAGAACTAGGCAGTGATGAGTGAGGTCAGAATCAGCTGCCATGTCAGTCTTCTTTTTTGATGGTGATTTTTAAATAATTCCATAATTGTAGTAGCAATAACACCAGATCATATCAATGTCTACAGGAGTTATTTCTGCATAGGAAGCCAGAGACATTGTTCTCACATATCTAAATCTCTTCATGTTCATTTGAGCATACTTACTGTTCCATAGAGATCAAACTCTCAGCTGAGGGTCCAGTGAATGAAGGAGTCGGTCATACAGCAAAAGACATCACTGAGCTATTTCTTCTCTGTATTAGTGTAAAATTTATTTCCTTCAGACCATGAAAGAAAAAAAGACAAGTGTAGTATGACAATAGCAAATACTTTTGGTTGTGCATCCTAGTTGTCATCCTGGAATGTTAATATCCAGATATTAATCATGATGAGATGACTCACTTGTCCAAAATCAAGAAAGAAATCCAAGTTCAAATCTGCTTTAAAATCAAGTAGTGATACTGGAATCCTCAAAAGACATCCTGAGGTTTCTTCATATTGGGTATATGACACTACGAAGTAAAAAGAAAAACAGGGAGAGACCTCAAACACCAGATTTTCGTCACCCTTCCTTCTCTGTTGTTAACTCAAATCATGGCTCTGGTTTGAACCACTCCAGTGAACTCTCTTCCAGTCAAGTATCCTGTAGGGGACTGTAGCCCTAACCCAGCTGGTGCTACACAGTTGTTTCTTGACATGTTTCCTTTACCAGTATAAGCATAGCAGATGATTCTCTGACATGCTTAAGTAGTTACTGTGAGAAACAAGCCAATATTTATATAAAAAAAAGGTTTTATTGGGGACAAAGTCAGTGGAGCAAAAAATACAGCGCTGGGCGCAATGGCACGCCCTGCCCCAGCAGGAACCTCTTTTTTATAGTTCCAGTCCTCCTTTTTTTTTTTTTTTTCTCTGTACCTGCGTAGTTTCTCCTTGGTTTCTTCAAGGCTGTCTCTCCCTGCACTTTTGCACTGCTTCACTACTTCTTATCACAAAACAGACAGCTGCTGAGCAGGGGAGGCAACCGCAATGTCGTATGTAACCTTCGGTTTAAACATTAAATCAAAGAACAGTGCAACACAGCCAAGCCAAGCAACAAGAACACTCGCTTTCCTTCCCCTTTCCCTCCGCTTCTTCTCGAATTCACAGCTGGTCTCAGTGGTCCTCTTCGGGTGGGGGGTGGTGGGGGGGGGAGGGTGTTGGGGGATCGAAGTCCAGGTTCCTCTTCATCAGGAGTTCTTCGCTTAACCCTTTTTCTGCTGGCTTCCATTCCTCTTTACGTGACACCCAACCACAGACTCACTCCCCCCACCGCCCCACTCCCCTGCTCATCCAACTCCCCGCAATGCCCAACCCTATGCCTAACTTGTGATCAAAAAAACTTAACAGTTATAATTCTAACAACACTATACTAGCAACACTAATAATAGCTTTAGCCTAACTCAATAAAAGTAACTGTTCAATTACTTTTAGCTAAAGCAAAATTCTACTGTTACTTCTCATATTACTGTTTCAGATAGTATTTTGAAGAATATAGGAAAAAAGCTGAAGGTTGGCTAAGAGTGTCAGATCACTACATGACCAGTTACTGGTATTGTAATGTCTAGATGTACAAAAAATATACACACTCTAAAAGGGATCAAGAAAATAATGCTTGGAAGGACATGATTTCTTATGGATTAAGCCCAGAGGGCAACTGAACACCATGCAGACGCTCTCTTGCTCCTTCCCCCTTCAGGGATGGGGAGGAGAAAATATAAAAGGCTCAGTGATTGAAACAAGGACAGAGAGGGATGACTCACCAGTTATGGTCACAGGCAAAAGACAAATTGGACTGGGGAAGAAGTAGAACATCAATTTAATTTGAACACCATCACCGCTAATTTATCAATCAGAGTAGGAGAGCGAGAAATACAGCCACAACTTAAAAAAACCTTCCCTCCACCCCTCCCTTCTTCTTGGGCTCAGCTTTGCTCCCTGTTTCTCTACCTCCTCCCCTCCAGCAGCACAGGGGCAGGGGATGGAGGGGTTGCAGTCAGTTCAATACCGTTATTTCTGCTGTACCTTCCTCCTCAGGGGGAGGACTTATCACAGTCTTCTCCCGCTCCAACATGGGGTCCTTTTCATGGGAAACAGTCTACCACAAATTGCCTTCAATGTGAGTCCTTCCCATAGGCTGCAGTCCTCCCAGCAACAGACTGCTCCAGTGCAGGCTTCCATCAGAGTCTCAGCCTTCTTCGGGTACAGACACCTGCTCTGGCGTGGGGTCCTCCATGGGCTGCAAGTGGACAGTCTGCCCACCTACCAGGGGCTGCAGAGGAATCTGCTCTGCACCTCCCCTGTACCTCCTCTTTTCTTCCACTGACCTCGGTGTTTGCATAGATGTCTCCCTCACAACTCATCCTCTCAGGTTCCCCTTCTTAAATATATTGCAGAGGCACAGCCACCATTGCTCATTTGTTCAGCCTTGGGCAGAGATGGATCCTACTTGGAGCTGGGGGAGCTTTGAGAAGCTTCTCACAGGACTTCCACCTCTGTAGCCCCCTCCGCCACTGCCAAAACCCCACCACACACAAACCCAACACACGATTAAAACAAGAACTGTCATAAATCATGACGCTAAGATTTGCAGTCACTTTGTGTGTGCTGGGTTTCTGTGGTTTGCTTTTTTTCTTGACAGTGGAGGAGGGGGCTACAGCAGTGCCTCCTGTGAGAAGCTTCTTGAAAGCTCCTCTGGCTCCAAGTCGGACCCGCCTCTGGCCAGGGCTGAGCCAATCAGCTGCACCTCTGCAATAACGTATTTAAGAAGGGGAACGTGAGAGGAGGCTGGGACTTGTGAGGAGGAGTTGCGAGGAGGATGGGTATTCGGGTCAGCGGAAGGAAGGAGAAGGATGTGGGGGAGGACCGCCAGAGCAGAGACCCCTCTATCCTGTGGTGAGATGGCAGGGCAGCCCACCCTGGCACACATGGGGGTCTGGTAGAGTAGAAGCCAACCTGAAGTCTGTGGAGGAGCCCACGCCAGGACAGGTGTCTGCATTTAAAGGAGGCTGGGACCCTGAGAAGAGAAGCGGCCCCCGCTGTTGTGGTTCGGCGCTGGGAGGACTGAAACACGCGGGGGGGACTCACACCAGGGCAGCGTGGGAATGGCTGTGCCCGTGGGGAGGACTCACACCAGGGAAGGTTTGTGGAGGACTGTCTGCAGTGAGAGGGGAGCCTCGTGGAGCAGGGGAGGGATGTGCAGCGTTCATCCCCTGTC